CAGTGCAAGACCGTATGCACAGCACAGAGGGGATCACAATTGTGTCTTAAAAAGATCACAAGGGCAGCAGTGGAGGATGCACTAGAGGGAGGTGGTGTCGAGGCCTAGGAGCCTGCTATCCCAAAGGGTCGGTGGTCTGTTGAGCTAAGCCTTGGGAATGGAAAGAGGAGAACAGCCCTAAAAGCTATAAAGGCCCAATCAGACCTGCTCAAGATAAACTAGGTGGTGACCTTCAGGTCAGCAGAGACCTGGACTAGAGGGAACCTGGACTGTTGAACTGAATTACACAGATGCCAGGGCTGAGGGAGCAATCCAGGCTCACCAGGCTAGTTTTGATTTTGGGATTAGATGAGACTGAAAAACTGCTAACTTCCCTATAGAAATCTGGGGTAATAGGGATTACATCACAGGATAAATTGTATTACATTTGGTAATAAAATTATATCTAAAATGCTAAACACAGTTATTCAAAAAACAGACCAACTTGAAGTAAGGCTGTTTATTAAAGAGGAGTGAGTCTGAGAGGCAGCAATTCCTAGATACATAATCTCTCTGGGGTAAGATACCATCTAGGACAAATATTTGAGTCATCCAAGTGCCCATTCACTAAAAAAGACCTCAAAGAAATATATGGCACACTTTTCCCTTTAATAAGTTTATAATCTTATTAGGGACATAAAACACCAGAAATAAGTAAAGGAAAAGACATAAAAAGATGCTTAAGTCCAATAAAAAATATGACTCAAATAGTACCTGGGGAAGAGGAATGTTAAAGATCAAAGTTAACTGGACCCCAGGTGCAACCTAACGCAACGCTTTGTTCACCTCCAGGGCTGGTTTAATTCCAGAACACAGTCGATAAAGAAGATTACTTAATATTGCTGGTGTCAAGGAACAAGGACATCCAGGGCTTCTGTTATTGAGAGAAAAAGAACATGATGTATATAAAGGAAATAGGACCAAGACATCTGAATCAGCAGTATCAGGAGACGTTTTCTAATGGGAATTTATATGGTCGAAAGGGAAAGAACAGGGAAGGCTGGCAAGTATCCATAAGCAAAGTGACACAGAAGGCCAGATATATGGCCCAATGATATGATGGCTAACTGGAGTTCCAAAGCCAAAAAGGGAAATTAAGTAAAAGCCATTAATAACAAATAAATTAAATAAATAAATCAAAAGTCTGTCTATTTCCCTGCCCTAGTCTGTCTCCTCAGTCCTGTATCTGGGAGAAACCAAGCACAGACAAATTGATAATCACTTAGGTACAGCAATCTGCAGGAAGGCAATCTCCTCTAGGTAAGTAATGATTTTTTGTTGGTCAACTGCTAACAGAGGCTGATTCCACTGTTTAATGGCAGGTGCCTCTTAAGGGGAGGTAGGCTTCTTTGAATGTGAGTTAGTAGATTCTGGTATTTTTGAATCTAAAGCTTGAGTTTTTGAAACTAAGACCATTCATCATTTCCAAGTTTACCAACCTCTGACAGCACAGTCAATATAAGGGTACCTCAGTAATTATCATACTTTGAACCTGAGACAAAGGTTTTCCTTGCCCCACTTTGGCTGAAGAAATTTATAAGACATATGCCTAAGCATCTAATGTATAAAAATACTTATTCCAAAATGTGGCAAAATGAGCTTTTTCAAATAGGGAAATGGTTAGGTAGCATCTGACTTTATCTTTAATGATGGTGATAGGAACAGGAGATTTAAACACTAGGATTTAACAGTGAGTTGGCCTAGTTGCCATCTAACAAAAGAACTACTTGACAAATCCAAACTTGTCTCAGACTTCTGTGTAAAGTATCTAATCTTTTGTAATCCTAAATTCTTGCTGGGTCTCCACAGCATGTGACATTCCCCAGGTACTGTTTCTCACATACTGATGACACCCTCAAAGTATTCCATCTTCTTGTTCTCTTAGACAAATAGTCTTTGCAAAACAAACGTTAAGACATATTTTAAAAGTTTTACTGAAAGAATTGCACCGAACAGTTATCCAACCAAAATAAGTATAAAATAAGTATAAGGTACTAGAGATAATCATTACAAAAGAGCACAGAATGAATAATTTTCATTTAAGAGGTCATTACTTTTTATAGAGGATGATTGAGCTATCATTGTAATGTCACACTTAAAAGAGTCACAAATCATTACAAAAAGTGAGTAAGATACAGTGAGTAGTAATTCTATTAATGGTGCTTATGATTTTATATATGGTGAAACTTGTTATTGTAATTCCTCATTGTGTGATTTCCATTTCTTTATGAAATTAGCAGAAGAAATAAAATTGTTATTTTTGGAAAAGGCCATAGTCTGAGGTTCAGATTATGGTTTTTCTATTACTTTTGGCAAGCTGTTAAAATTCATATTCATTTCTTATACTTTCACTGCTCTAATTTATTGACTGCCTTGGCAGAATATGGTGTAAAAGGGAAATTTCAGAAGAATGAGACTTTCTATATTAGAAGAGAGGAAGAGAAATCTATTTTGAAAGGGCCTACAATAATATTGGAGATAAAAGTTGAAAGAAATTGCTCATTCTTGCTCCTCATTACTTAAAATAAAATACCATAATTATTTTTCTAATTTCCAAAGAAACTCCATAATTCCATCATTTCCAACCCATACATTAGATGAAGTTAAACTGAAGTTAACATGAAACAAGCATGTATGTTATTCGATGTCCATTTTCCAATGCCTTTATCTTTTTTCTCAATTACAGAGCATACTACATCCTCATTTAAGAACAAATATAATTTAGAAGGCATTAGAATATAATGAAATCATAATAATAACAACTTATGTTTATTAAGTGCTTAATATTTGCCATACACTGAGCTAACCACAGATCATCTAAAAAGATTAATTTACTCTGACAGATAATCCTATGAAGTATTAGTATTGGTATTTTCATTTTACATACAGATAAGGAAACTGAGGCTTAGCAAAATTAAGTGGCCACATAGCTATGAAGTGATAAAATCAGGAAACATAACGAAGTATTTGAGGGCAACCATAATTATGAACAAGACTGATTTCTCTCCAAAGCTAGAGGTACATCTGGTCAGACACTACGGGAAGGTCTGGCCATACCCTACTGCAGCACTAGTAGACTGACTTTACAATAATAGTGGCACTATCCCTCCAACATTAAAGCGTAAGTAATTGTTGCTTGTGCTTTATACCTTTAGGTAGATTCATGTGAATAGATAAACACTTACATAACGAGAATCAAGAGTCAAATGAATTATGGAGGTCAGGAACAAGTGTGATGTGGGAGGACATTAGTTTTACGAAAATCTGAAAAATTACAGTGATTTCCAAGGGAGGCACCACTGGCATTGTGAGTGTGTGTGCGCGAGCCTGTGTGTAGGAGACGAAGGAGACAATTCATTTTTTGTTGTACAATGCTGTCACGTATGTTGCAACACATTTAGTATCCTTTAACTCCCCCCTCCCAAATAAATACCAGAAGTTCTCTCAAACCTTGTGACCACCAGATATATACTCCTAGACATTTTCTGCTGACCCTGACTGAGAATCTTGATTCTTGGATAAAAATACCAGGAGAAAAGTAACTGACAATGAGTTATCCATCATATACCAGGTACTCTGCTAAATGCATTCACACATAGTCATTTAGTCTTCTTAACCCCATATAACGTAAATACATATTTTATCCACATTTTATAGGTGTGGCCCCTAAGGCTCAGAGCAAGGTTAAGTAATTTAACCAAGGACACATAGCCAGTTTTGAAACCAACAGTCTGGCTCCAAAACTACACTGTTCTAGGTTGGTCTCTTAAGCCATAATGGTGAAGTAGGCATGACTTTCCATTCTTTGAAGAGGTTCATTCAGAAAATATAAATCCTTATAAGTAGGAACCATGGTATATACACCATATGAACCAGGGATTAATTAGTTCCCTGGGTTGGGGATGAGGGGCCACAGGTGCAGTGCCATAGAGTTACATGATGTTACATGATGTGTTCAAAAGTCAGGTAGAGCAGCTCCTACAAACAGGTATATATTAGAGGTGCTTTGAACATGTGTGTATGTTTTCAGGGGAACAAGAGAGTCGTGTTATGTCGTGTGAGGTTTATATGTTTCATTTGTTTAACACATAGTGTTTACTATTCACCAGGCATCATTAAAATTGCTTGACAAGATCTCACTTCAGCATGTTTGTTAGGTGATGAGCCGGGAGGGTGGGTGCACTGTCTGACATGTGCTGGGCTGGTGTCTGTTCATAGAAGGTGATGATTATTGGGCCGTGCTAGATAGGAAGGTCCGCTGTGATGTGTGCGTTTAGAGTGGTAGTTTGTGTTGTGGTACAGAAGGTAGTGTTCGAGGCTGGGAGAAGGGTTATGCTAGATGATTTCTGTGCAATGCATACGGGAGGTGCTGCACAGGAAAGATCTTGTGGTGCACTCCACATGTGCATTTTTTGTGCGTTACGGGTAGAGCTAAATACTGGAGGAGTCCCACAGGAAGGGATCTAGGTTACGTCCTGGGCCTGTGTATAGTGTGTGCAGGCGCTGTGGAATGGGGTGTTTTATGTGTGTAGTGGTGTGTGCTGAAAGTGGTGCATACGAGATGATTCATGCGGTGTGATGGGTAGGGACGGGGGCTGGAGCGGCTGCAGAGGAGGGGCCGGTGTCGTGATGTGTGTGGAGCGACGCTGAGTGCCGGGGCGGGGGGGGAGGGGCGATCGTGCTAAGAGACTCGCGTGTGTTCCTGGTGTAACCGGAGGCGCTCTATGGGAGAAGTGGCATTGAGAGATGGAGCGTGGGGTTTTGGGGGAGAAGGCTGGTGTGCTGCGAGACACCTGGCGGGTGGAGGAGCCGCGTAGGCGACGGGTCTGCCAGTGTGTGCGCGGAGCAGTCAGCCCGCTTCCTCACTCCAGAGCCACGCCGGGCCATCCTCCTCGCTACCTCCTCCCGCCCGCCTCTTCCCTTCGCCTCGGGCGCGCCCTCCGCGCGGCCCGCCGCCTCACCTGGTGAAGGCAAAGTACATGAGGCTGACGATGGTGAAGCTGAGCAGGGTGATGGTGTGCGGCCGGTAGAAGAAGTCAATGGTGATGTCCTCCACTTGCTGCTCGTTGATCATCCGGAAATGCATCTTGTAGTTCACATCATCCTTGCTCAGGGTCCGGCTCCCCACGCAGGACGCCATAGCCCGCCTCCCCGTCCTGCCGCGGCGGCGGCGGCCCCAGCCCACGAAGGCTGGGACCCCGGGGGTGACAAGCCGCAGCAGGCGAGCAGCCGGACGGCGAGGCCGGGTCTGGCGCCCAGCAAAGGCTGGGAGCCGAGGGAAGGACAGGCGCGGGAGGGCGGGGTCGCGGCGCCGCCACCGCGGCCTCGGGCGGGGGGCGCCGCCGGCCATCCCCAAGCTGGGATTCTGGCAGAGGCATCTCTAGGCACTCAAGGAACCTTCAGACTCCCAGTGCACGAGGCCTGAGGGAAGTGGCGAGCGGAGAAGGGCAGCTGTGGCCCCTAGCTGGCTCTTTCCCCATGCACGCAGCCCGCTCTCCCCCGTGCAGCCCGGCAGATGGTCTCGCTCACTCCGGCCGCAGCCCACGTGGGCCAGAGAGCGCGGCGGCGCGGGGCTGGGCTGGCGGACTAGCCCGCGTGCGGCGCGGCGGTACTGTGCGCGCGGCCGGGCGAGTCTGTCGGCCACTGCGGGACCCGCAACGAGGCACAGGCCTCGCCACAGGTAAAGCAGGAGCCGCCTGAGCGCGAGGGGCGCAGTTTTGGCGGGGGTTGGGGTTCGGGTCCCGACCCACCCGCGTCCAGGCCGCGCCCCGGGCGTCACGGCATGTAGGCCTTCGCGGCCCAGTCGAGGGTGACTGGTTTTGCCTTATCTTTTCCCCGGGCTGATTCGATGGAAAACGCAACCGTGCTTGTTTATTAGTGCGCTCTGTGAAGGACGCAGAAGGAGGCCCAGCGTGTAAACTGGCTTCCTGCGGAAGTTCGATTTGGGGAACTGAAATTGTTTAAAATGGCTTAGGGAGGACGTCAATATTACTTGAGAGGCCCTTTATTACGAAGCCACTCCCTTAACCCCCCTTTCATCTCCTGATTTCATTTATAGCCTTTCAGAGATAGAAATCTTGAACCCTCGGGAAAACTCTTTCAGTGCCTTTTCCTAGCAAAGCCCTAGACACACATTTGAGAGCTAGTTAAGATATTTTAATGGACTTTAGAGTTCTTTAAGGGTCTTTTTCTTTAATTTTCCTGATGAAAGCGGTGTGTTAAAGGCTCACCATTACCACTTTGCAGAGATTTTATACACATCTGCAAATGCCTTTACCCGCTTTTGAATACTGTGTAAGCAAGTGGATTAACCCTACTTGCCATTGATCCATTTCCACTCAACAAACAATGGAGTACAAGGCTCTGGGCTAGGGGAGCATAGTCACTAGGAGGATGAATTCAGAGATGAGACCCAGCCCTGCTCTCGTGAACGAACAGTTAATCCACTGTTAAAACGCATAGAGAGCAGTGAAATGATGATGTAGTGAAGATAGGGCACTTGTAAATAAAAAATGAAAGGATGAACATTAGTTGTATGCACAAAGATCTTTTAATGAATATGGATGAAATTTAAAAGTGAATCTCCCTAATGTGGGAGGGGTATTAATTTGAGTCTGGAAAGGCTTCAGAGTAAATTTGGGGTTTCAGGAATTTGTTTTGAAGTAGGATGAAGTGCTTAGACCAACTTAGAAGTCAAAAATGTTAGAGCTGATAGGGACCTTAATCATTTTATTGTCCCTTTAACCTCTTAAAAAAATTTATTATTTGAAGAAGGGTTCTTGAACCCCCATCAAGAGCTAGACATTTTGTTAGACCGACCACCTCCAGAAACTTGATCTTGTCGAGGTGACATAACTGAAGTCTTCTGGCTTCCAACTCAGTGCCATTATGACTGCGGTACACAGAATGAATGTCGTAGATTTGAGGAAAAGGTTGGAAGATTTGGAGGCTCGTTTCATATCAAAATTTAACAAAAGTCATCCATCCCAGAAGGTTATTGTGAGTGCTTATTTCCTTTCTAAAATCCTTTCAGAAAGAAAGTGAGACTTCACTTTTCTAAATCTCCTTCAGCAAACTTCCAAAACTACAGATCTCTAAGGGGAGAATTAGACCCTCAAGTTTTGGTCTAATTCAGAGCATTAAACAAGCTTCATGTCACTGTGTGGAAAAACAAAGCAAAAACTTGTATGCATCAGTTAATCTGGAAGAATTCACTTGTATTTGGTTGTATAATCAATAATAATGGCTAACATTTGTTGGGCATTTCCCATATGCTGGACCCCATGCTGTGTTTTATATGGAATATCTTAATTTAACATAAGATTATATGCATCAGATTTACCTTTCTAATTAACTAGCTAAATATAAAATTTCTTCATATTCCTGGAGCTTAATGTAACAACAAAAGCCTTTCCTGACAAAACAATTTTTGAAAACATCTACTTTTTCAGTCAAAATATACATATACTCATTGCTAGTTGCTTATTTATTTGTCACTTTGTTATTTTTTCTAGTTTTGACCTTTTCTTTTTGGAGGCTTTTTTTTTGTTTCCTACAGTGAAACAATTTGTCAAAACTGGTTTTGTTCAATTCCATTATGAAGAATAGCTTTATCTGTAAAATAATCAACAGTGTTCAGCTCTGAGGGTGAAGCAAGAAACAGCCTCCACTGTTCTATATAGCACTGATAATATTTTGATGATTCATTTAAGACAGTGAATTTCTTTCTGTTTTTTATTTTGTGACTAATTTGTATACATAAAATGCATTTGAATAATTCAGTGTTACTTTGATCAGCAATGTGCTTCTTAAATGTCCTTCAAACCAAATTTGAAGAACACTTAATTACATCACCTTATTTTCTTTAAATGATTGAATGAACAGATTATTGATTGGGTTGTAATTTGAACACCTACAGATTTTGGTTTTAAATGTTTTTCTTACACCAGTGATTTTGCTTTCTGTTGTTAAAGTATAAAGCATATCTTTATTTTTCCAGTTCAGAAGTTCCTGTTTTTTGGTTTATAACAGAGACTGCCTTGTTTTAGGCTTTTCCTGTGGATAAGAAACATCTTCACTATTTTATTTTAGTCTAGATAGATATTTAAATAAATATATTTAAACATCTTTCATTTAGAAAAAATAATTTCCAGTTTATCTTTTTGTTGTTCGAATACTGTTTTAAACATTTAAGTAAATTAAATTTCTCTATATTTTTCCTTTGTAGACTACTTTAAGAAAAATGGCCCTGTCCGCCCAACAGATACCTAGATGGTTCAACTCAATTAAATTGAGTAGCTTCATTAATGCTACACAACTTACAAAACGTTGTACAAGACCAGGAAAAACATTGTTGCATGGCTTTTCTGCTCAGCTTCCGATGTCCTCTGATAATTGCTTTCTCCAGTGGGGGTTTAAGACTTACAGGACTTCCTCCTTATGGAATAGTTCCCAATCTACCAACTTAAATGGTCAAGAGAGTAATTCTACCCAAAGCACTCTGCTTCCTTCCGTGAATGAACAGTCACAGGAGACACAGAAGATACCCAGCTTTGATTCTGAGCTGTCTTTAGAAGGTAATTCTGAACTTTCAGAGAAGTCCCCCTTTCCCCACTTTGGTAGTTTGAGCAAGCTACCAGTTTACATTCTGCTAGCTTATTTCAGGTCATATTTTGTACCAGGCAAGAAAAAGAACAGTGCCCGTTCTATTCTTTTGCTTCTATTATACCTTTATTTTATTTGGCTAAGAAAAAAAGTTGGTGGTTAATATGTATAAGATTATTTTATAGCTCTATGTATAATATTTGCTTTCTAAATACTTTAAGTTTTTTTTAAAAAAATTCTGATGGTAATTAGGTTTATTAGGGTATAATTAATATCAAGTAAAATTCAACTTTTGGGGTATACAATTCTATAAATTTTGACATGCATTTACTTGTGTAACAACCACCACAATCAATAAATAAAAGTTATATTACCCCCAAAAGTTTTCTCCTGTTGCTTTTTAGTCAGTCCTCTCGTTCCTATGCTTTCCATTCTAGGAATATTTCACTGCAAATGAGAAAATACTAGAGTAGGTAGAATATGAAAGAAAGGTGGGGGGCAGGGAGTAGAGGGTGGCTGTAAAAGATAAAAAAGGGTAATTAGTGATGTGAAGCAAAGAATGGAACAAGAGATCACAGTCCCGATTTCTTAGCTTAAGCTATGTTACATAAGTCTCTTTCATACTGTGTTTGATGTAAAAACAAAACAAAACTTTAGAATCAAGGCTGTACTAGAAGGGGTCATGTCCTTGGCAAAGACTGCAGGTTGTATAATAGAAACAGTCATAGATGTCCTCTTAAAGACATATTTAAGAATAACTTGGAGAGGAGGGGATTGGATCAAAACAAAGACATTTCAGGATGTGATGACTTTAACCCACGCAGTTCAGACTGTTGGAATATGTGTACTTTTGGCCAATGTAACAGGGTGTGGTAGACTCAATTTCTTTCTCAAAATGCGCCCAAACATCAGATGATCTTTAGCATTCTTGCCGACTGATTAAAAGTGAAGGAAAGGAGTTATGTGCCTTGAAACTTACCAACAAATTTCTTTTCTTGGAGGAACAGTAGTTGGTCTCTCTAAGTAGTTATAACCTTAACCCTTCGAAGGTAGAAAATATTTGGACTTCTTAGACATTTAATTCTGAAATGACTCTAAGATTTAACCAGTATAAGAAGCAAACTAAGGAAGTCTTTGTAGAAATAGTTTTAAGTGTGCATACTGGAGTGCTAACTTGCTTCTCTCTCTCTCAAAGGACTGGACGACTTGCCTCCGTTATCTCCCTTGCAGCCAGTCTCCGAGGAGGAAGCCATTCAGATTATTGCAGACCCTCCATTGCCCCCAGTCTCATTCACACTCCGAGACTATGTAGATCATTCGGAGACTCTGCGGAAGTTGGTGCTTCTAGGTAAGTTTGACTAACCCACAGGTACTTTTTGAGTGTACTCTTCATTTATTTTTTTCCCTTTTTAAGTTAACATTTTGATCTTTTTTGTAGTAGTACATACATGTAAGCAAAAGTTAAATAGCGTGAAAGACTTCTAGTGAAAAACCGTGTCCCCTGTTTCATCCTCTCTGACCTTACATCTCATTCCCCAGATTTATGTACTTTTATCATTCTTTCTGTTTGTATTCAACCTCCACATTTTAAAGTAATGGTTTATAGTGCTGTTGCTTGGGTCATCAGTTTTGGATGTCAGTTGATCTCTTGTATATACACACATACTTTTCCTATATTCTCTTCAAGCCTCCCAATATAGTTATGTTACAATTTTTAGATAGAGCATTAGTCATTGATTATATAATGGCTATAAATATTGCTAGCTGCTCTAGCAAGAAGTGTACTATGATTGTTTACTTTCTGGTACTTTTTATTTTCCTGGAATTAAAAATTGCCTGTTTTTCATTTGATTACTTTTTTTGTTTTTAGGGTTAAATTGTCCCATACCTTCCAATATCCTTTCAGGACAGTTTTTCCCAGTGAGCCCTACTGGATGATGTATCATTCCATTTCCCCAGAGTGCATACATTGCTCCCCGCTTGCCAAACTACCCCAACCTTCCTCCTAGAGCCCACTTTCCTCCTGATTTGGATGGCTTCTCTCAAGGCCTGCTCCATAACTATCTTAGCTTATTGACTAGTAGGTGACACTTGGATCTGGATAGTTAAAGGCAGCCAGGGTTATCTCACTGCAAACTTCCAGTTAGTCTTCTTATTAACATTTTTAGTCTAGCATCTTATTGCAACCTTTTGCTTTTCCTATTTTCTCTGGGTTCTGCACTTCTCATACTTGATTTTTCCCAGATAATGAGCCTCCTTTCTCCTGGTGGGTTGAGAGGAACAGGATAGGTAAGGCATGGGGGACCAGGAGTGGGGGGCAGTTCCTGAGTTCTTGATATACAGTCATACCCAATCCCCCTGTTTTAGCCTGTACCTCACTTCCAACCTCTCAGATCTCTAGGGACTCAATTTCTGAGGCTTTTGAGTTTTTTGAGCTTGCCACATGTCAGATTCTCATTTGCAGGCATTTCAGTTTCTTCTTTCTCCTCTCTGGTAAGTCTGTTACCTCTCTTTCATCAGTTTTCATTCATTGTGATTTGGGATATAAATTAATCTTGTTTCATCAGAGAAGGAGTTTATTTTTTTGATTCTCATTCCACATATTTTTGGGAGGTGATTTTTAACAGGAGAGGAAAAAGAGAAAACCTTTGCTATGGTATAAACCTTTAGGGGTCAGTCTTGATTTTTGCTTTTTTACCCTCACTCCTTACATCTAAATTTAGCACCTTATCCTGTGGATTCTGCTTCTCCATTTCTCTCAAATCCGTCTGCTTCTCTCATCTTACAGTCACTGCCTTCATTTAGGTCCTCATTTGTAACTGAGGGGCTGCCGTAGCCTTCTAACTTGATAATCTTCTCTTCAGCAATATTGGCTCTGATAATCTCTCTAGTGTTAGTGCTCTTTCTATTACAAAATGAAAATCTGACTGTATCAGTGACCTACTTAAAATCTTTCAAAACCTTCCCATGGCATCAAAGCTCTTCCTGGTTTAGTCCTTGCTTACCTTTCAGCTTCATCACTTGCCACTTTTCTCCTTTGGTTGGTCAACTCTGACAACTGAAGAACTTAAGTCCAAGTAACATCTAAAGTGTCTTCTTGACCCTGCAGACAGAGTGACCTCCTCAGTCTCTCGCTTCACTCCCTGCTTACTTTGCCCCTAGCACTAATGACACTCTATTGTAATTGTTTACTTATCTCTCCCTCTGCCAAGTTACCCAAATGTGTAGGGAATGGCCTTTCTCTCAAGAAGTTTCAAGGCTTCAGAACCATGTAAGTACAAATATACATGAATAACTGGAATGCAGGGATGAAGGGTAAAGTGATAAGTCTCACATGAGAGATACAAATTGTTCTGTGAGTCAACCTAAGTGTCCAACAATTGATAAAGAAAATGTGGTGTGTCTATACCCAATGGAATACTATTCAGCCTTTAAAATGAAAGAAATTCTGTCATTTACAACAACATGGATGATCCTGGAGGACATTATGAAATAAGACAAGCACAGAAAGACACATACTGCATGATCTCACTTGTATGTAAAAGCTAAAATAAGTCAAACTCATAGAAGCAGAGAGTAGAAGGTGGTTACTAGGGAATAGGGAGATGTTAGTCAAAGAGTATGAAGTCAATTAGACAGGAGTTATAAGTTCTGGAGATCT